ATGCCACAGTCCTTTCTCCTCTAGTCTTCTCTCGGGATTTTAGGAACACATGCACATGTGCCTGGCGTGAGTTTCAAGCTGCTGATCTGGGACTTGAACTATGATTATCCCTGTGGGAGTCTAGCATCTTAACCACTAAACCACCTGCTGTCCCATGAAATGAGGTTTTACAACACAAAATTTTACACAAATGCTCAGTTGCCTCAGGTGACTGAAATGTTGCCATCAAATGAAACATTGTTTTGTTGTGAAAGAGTGAACATGTTTTTTGGAATTATATGTATTGTGATAAAATGAAACGTTTCCTAATGATAGCAAAGGCCTTTTTTTTTCCTAGTTAAACAGTGTCATTAATATAGAATTTAGGCTCAGGATTTCATACAGACATCCAAAGAACTAGAGAGCTCCATGAAGCAAGTGCTAGAAAAGCTAGGGCTCTACAACACTTAAAAAGAAAATGGTGAATTATCCAAAGCCTTGCTTGACGTCTGTAAGTGAGGAAAGTGGGAAGGAGAAAATCTAGGGAAGCAGGGTAGGTGAAAGAGATTTGGATATTCATGGAGACTACAAAGAAGTCAACAGATAAAGGCATATTGAAACCAGCAGCCCTCCTGACTAGTTAGGGTATGGTTAGCCTTACACTTTGTATTCATTCCTCTGCCTTCTCTGACATCTCTTCTTGGTGAAGAAAAAAAGAATCAGAATGGTAAGTATGAACGAGACCCCAATAATCCTGGATATTTGCATTAGATTTAGCTCCTCCCAGTTCATTGTACTTTCAGAATGTTTCGTTTGGTTCCTATGATGATCAAGTAGAGGACAAGGCAATTAAAGAGAAAGCTAGAGAGACCAGCAGGTAGCATAGTGGTTAAGGCACTGACCTCCCACATAGCCAACAGTGGTTCAAATCTCATACCTGGTGGCTTGAAACACACAGGGCACGTGTGAGTGCATGCCCAAAGTTCTGAGAAGAGAATGGGGGACAAAGAATTGCTACATGGCCATACCCCCTGGGGAGTGATTTCTCTATTCCCATCTCTCGGTCTCACCCTCTATCTCTCTGATGAGCGCATGTGCCCTATGGCAAAAATCTGTCAAAAAAGAGAGAAAACTACAGCACAAAGGGACAAAAAGACTTCAATGGCAGAGCAAAACCTGCAAACCAGGTCTCCGGACTGCTCATATAGTGTTCTTTACTGCCACCCTATACTGCATCTCTTTATAAAGATTTATTTTTAAGTGCTCAAAACTTAGCAATTGTTCTTCCTTTGTGATTCACTAATGTATGCAGCTGCCATGCCACCCCATCAGGCTCAGCCTAGCATGGTTGGAGTAGAGTGTTTAAGTGGGAGTTAGTCATATTTTGGCTTTCTATCTAACCTATTGTTGAATATTGAAATTGTGACAGTCTTTAATCTCTCTGCATCTCATTTTCTCTTTCCCTTGATCTCTGTTATGTCTTGGAGTTAAATGTGAATGGAGTCATCTAGCTCCATTGTTCTAAAATATACTGGATGCCAGTTTCTAGGCAAGCTGTATGGTTTGCCCCCCAATATGTATTGTGTTTTCATTAGTTTTTTCGATCTCAGGAATTGTGTTTAGGCCATTTTCTACATAATCCTGTGTCAGACTTAAAAGGAACTGAAAATCTCCTAAATAATTTTCTAATGGATTATAAAAATGTTAAATGTAGGGGACTGGCTGGGAGCCCAGCCATAAAACATGATGCTTTGCAAGGATGACTCACATAGGGAGGTTCTGGGTTCATGTCCATAGACTTCTGTGAGTACAAGTCTGGCTGAAGTTGGGGGTGCATCATGGACTCAAGACCCTATTTGAGGAGCTGTCACTCTCTCTCACTTATGGAAGAAAGAAAGAAAGAAAGAAAGAAAGAAAGAAAGAAAGAAAGAAAGAAAGAAAGAAAGAAAGAAAGAAAGAAAGAAAGAAAGAAAGAAAGAAAGAAAGAAAGCCTAAAAAAAGAAATGGAAGAGTAAATTATATGAAAAGCCATCTATGAGAAGTCTACAAATATTTCTTGGATCCAGTGGCTTGAAAAACACACTAGGTGTGTGTGTGTGTGTGTGTGTGTGTGTGTGTGTGTGTGTGTGTGCTGGTGCATGCACACATTCCCAAAATTCCAAAATGAGAATAGAGGAGAAGGCATTGTAGTATGACCATCCCCTCTGGGGAGTGTTTTCTCTCTTACTCCCTCCTTACTTCCCCTACCCCCATCTCTTTCCAGTGAACGCACACACCCTATAACAAATTGAAAAAGAAAAAGAAAAAGAAAAAAATGTTAAATATATGTTTTATAAATACCAGGTAACTTTTTTGATCGCTTGCTAAGTACCAGATACTGGCCTCTCATTAAAACCGTATTATACCCCAGTGATGTCAGGTGAATGAGGAAGTCCAGCACAAGGGTCTTGCACAGAGTGCAGTGGGGCCAGGTGTTGATAGACAGGTCTTTTGGCTCTAGCCTGCATTTTCACTACTGCTCTATACTATTTATATGGAAAGTGACCTATGAAAAGTCTCGTTCGGTAGGGCACAGTTAATTTTGTCTGTTGAAATTCATGGTTCCTCCTAAAATGGAGTTCGTTGTTCATTAAAATCCAAGTGATTTTCAGACCTGATGTTGATCTCGCTCAAATAATGAGGACGAAGAAGAGCTCTTTGCGGAAAATGTCCTTCAGGGGCCCAGAGAGTGTTCACTTTGTTCATAGTCAGGCCTGAAGTTCAATGTGACATGCCTTATTTGAGTTGTAGTAAATGTAAAGAGACCTGACAACTGTGGAAGTTTCAATAGTCTTCACTAATTTCAGCTGTTTAATTTAGCTTCTTTGACACGTGCAAACTTTGAAATCTCAAAGGGAAAATAGATCATTAGAAATGAAGTGAAAATGAGGTTTTATTTCTACAGCTATAAATGTTCTTATACAGTAAGAGCCAGAAACATATAATGTATTATATTAAAGGTATAATGTCTATCCTCTTTTTATGTATTTAGCATTAGTTTTGACTGAATTAAGGTACTGTAATTTACCTTTTTTGAGATCCATCCCAACATACTTTCCTTTCTCTTCCTATTAATTTCTTCATGCATACAATCATTCAGAAATTATTGAATGCTTTTAATGCCTTGCAGTGACTTAAGTACATTAAAAACTTTTCATTACTGGTGCTTTATTGAGTTGACAGATTATCATGAGGAGTAGTCTCCCACCCCCCTTTTTAAAAAATTTGCCAGATGGTGCTGAAGAGAGAAAGAGAGACAGAGTAAAAAGCACCTCCAGTGGGTAATAGTCACACTCTTCACAATCCCACAATCCCTTCTCCTCCATCTCTCCCTCCATTTGGCATTCTGGGGAAATATGCACATGTGCCTGGCATGTTTGTCAAGTCACCAGATTGGAGACTCAAACCATGCAGTTGGCCGTGTGGGATCTAGCCACCTTAACCACCATGCCACAGGCTGGCTGGAATAAAATTTTCTTAATTAAATCCAGTTATCTGAAATTCATTGCATCTGACTATACTTAACATGATACCAGTTTTGGAAAAGATACTAACTAGGCAGCAAGTACATGTTTAAACCCTGAGATGGCTAAAGATGATGGTGACATCATATCTCGTATATTTAGATACAAAAGAAAACAATAGAAGCATGTTGCCATTTTTAAATAAAAATCTAGAATGTGCCAGGTTAGCCTTCAACCTCAAAGGAAATATTAATTTCCTTTAATAGCTACTGTGTTTGGTACTTAAAATGGAGCTTAATCATGATGAAGAAAATAATCTGCAGGTTAGATCATCAAAGCCAGTGTTTCTCCTGTGCTCCACAGCTGTGTCTCTGAAGCCACTGCCATGTCGGGGTAGTGGTGGTGCTGGCAGGAGGGACTTAATGGGTGCAAACCTGGTCGGTACTCTCCATCTGTCTTTTATTTATGTTTAAGAAAGTCCTGTGTATTAGAGAAAATTCAAAAAAAAATGTGGGTTTAGGCTAGCTCATACGTCTTACTAGGAGCAAACTGAGGTTCAGACAATCTCTAAGAAGAGCACAGCAAATGGCTGTGTGAGAAAGTAAATGTTAGTCATGGTATACGACATTACCTGGCCCAGCAGTGAACTGGTCACTGACCACTGACTTACGTGGTCACTAAGTCAGGGCGATATAAATTCTGACTGTTGAGTTCGTTATAAATTGTGTCATGTTCATATTGGGAGAATTGAAAATGGTGAAAGGGCTGGAGGGTAGAAGTGTGTGTGGCAGGGGAGGCATTGGAGGAAAGATGTAAGAGAGTTAAGTTTTCATATGTCAATATAAGAAATCAGTAGATTGTCTAAAATTGATTAATCTAGAAATAAATTGCATGTTAAGCATAATATTTTTTAAAATGTGGAGGTCAGAGGCTGATGTATAAAAGTAAGGAAATAACTGCTAAAAAAATTGAAATTGATTTCTGTTGAGAGCAGGTCTAAAGTTAGGAAGGGAGACAAAGCACTGCCTTTTTCTATGCATAGAGTACTCTTTTTTTCCTATAAAATTAACTATCTATGAAAAAGGACTATTAATTACTTATTAGTGCACCCGTTATGTATGCACTTATTTTCTGTATATGTTTTTCATTTTTGCCAGACAGCCACTCATAATTTTTAAAGAGGCCATTCCCTAGGAGAGAAAAATAAGCAGGATATTAGAAGTGATATTTCACATCAGATAATACAAAGGCTGGTGTTTGGGGGTTCAGATTCGCAACAGGGTATTTCCCAACTAGATCATTTATGCCTTTGGCCCTTCATTGGGATTCTCGCTAACTAATTTCAGGGACAGGAGCTACCCCCAGAATGCGAGTAAAAGCACGACTGTGTGAGCATTTTGATGCAGCCTATATTTAGGAGCAATTTTTCTGATAGCACCTGTTTATCCTGTATTTATCCTAATTCTAAATAAGAATCACTCTCTAACTATTCTTTTTGATATTTCTTCTTTGAAACAGGGAAATGCACATAAAATCATGGAGAAATGTACATTACCACTGACTGGAAAGCAATGTGTCAACCGCATTATTACTGAAAAGGTACATTTATTTCCTTGGATATCTGCCACCACCTTTTTATTTATGAGCAGTTTTAGAATTTTTTTTTTGTTGCCTTCTGAAAGTGTATTATATTGATAGTCATAGGATTAATTTTGTCTGTGGGTAGGACAAATAGGAATATTCGTCAATTTAATGTTTCTAAATGGAGAAGTCTTTATGCGCAACTTTCTGGAAATACACATAAACACACGAAATTGAACTACCGGCCTATGTAACTTTGACAGTGTGATATAATCAGAAAAGTGTTTTATCGATCCTTATATTTTGACTATTAAGATGTCAAGGTGAATGTTAAGAATATATTTATCATTCTTACCTTTGTTCTTTGCTTTCCCAAATCACAAGTACAAATTGTTGGGTTTCATTTTGGAAAATTCTGTCAAAATTGAGTTTTAAATCATTTATGTGCAAATTGCAGTGAGCCGAGATATGTATTCTATTTTTTGCATGCTTTCTTGTCCTCTTGTTAAAAAGTGGGAGTTCAGAACACATCAGTCATTTTAGTACTTCTCTAGATTTTTCTTCTTAGATGGAACTTGTCGGCCAATGGTATGCCTGACAGCTTTTCAGATTAGAGAGAAGCATCACTGGCAACTGCCTGTGGCCCAGATTTGAACTATGTTGGTGACATAGTTCTCATAAGTCAGTGGGAATGGAGTGTTTTTTTTTTTTTTGAGAGGTTTTTGCTATAGGGCTCATGCGCTCGCCAGACAGAGACAGAGAGACAGAAAGCGAGAAATCACCCCCCCAGGGGGGATGGTCACACCGCAATCCCTTCTCCGTTCTCCTCTCGGGATCTTGGGTACACATGCACACGTGCCCGGCATGAGTTTTAAGCCACCGGGTCCGGGATGCAAACTGCGGTTGACTACGTGGGAGTCCAGCGACATAGCCATTACGCTAACTGGAGTGTTTTCTTGATTCACTATCTTGATGAAGCCACAGAACAAAATGATCTATATCAGGCCTATTTTGTTCCCCCATTCAATTCAGTTTCTTTCACCAAGAGCTGTAGCACTAGTGTCTCGGAATTAAATTCAGCTCACTGTGTCTGTCCCTTAGTGAGGTATGGTAAGAAATACTCTAAAGCAGGCCTTTGCAGTAGATTTAGAGTATCCACAATACTTTCCAGAAGCCACATTTAGGAAAGGGTCTATCCTAAATGGTACCTTTCCCAGGACTGTCTATGTGGAATTCCATAAAGATGACTTATAAAGAACAAGTGGATAAAAGGACATAATACTTTATCTCACCATTTAGCCTGTGAGTCTTTACCACTTCTTGAAACCCCCCAATTGGACATGAATTGTGGTTTTTAAAAGCTTATTCATTCACTTCATCCATGAAAGGGAGAGAGACACAAAGAGAGGGCCCCCCAACAGAGTCCTCACACCATGGTCCACCCTCATCCTCAGCCAGTTTCTGAGCTTTTTTTCTACAGTAAGAAGAGAAGAGATAAAACAGAGTCCAGTTAGAAGGATCCACTAGGGATCTAGGCAAAAAGAGTCACAATTCTAATTCAGAGGACAGAAAGAGAGATTTTAGGATATAGACTCTATCTAATTTGATGAGAAATCAGACATGTTTTGTATGATAGGTGATTCCTAAATTTCACAGCTAGTGAATATGGTTGACCTGTAGTATCATTAATAAGCCCAGAACTGTAAAAGGAGAAGGGGAAGGAACAATAGGAGGCAGAAAAAGAATAGGTTTCATTTGGACACTCTCAGTTTCTGACGTTCCTGAGAACATCAACATCCAGTCAGAAATTTTGATAAATAATTGGAGATTTGGCGCTCAAGCTCATAAGAGAAGCTGGTATTGGAATAAACTTGTGGGAGTCATTAGCATATGGGAATGACTGGAACTTTAACCATAGACATTGTTTAGCAAGAGTAAAGAGAAAGGCAGCTAAGTCTAAAGTCTTGGTACCTAAAGGAAAGGATTGTTGCATGTTTACCACCGTGGTGGTTATATGTAGTGGCTACTCAATAAATACTTGTTGGATGAGCGAATGAGAAGGCCATGCATATGCATTAAGATCAATGAATGTGTGTAGCCCTACCACTGGCAGCTAAGGGACTAGAATCTCATTATCAACTCCAAGGAAAATTCCACTAGGTTGCCCTTTGAAAGAGACTTGGGAAATGCCATGACCCTGATTTTCCTTGTTTGGTGCTGCTAGAATCCGGTTATGAAAGATGCCTTCCTCAATGGCACCTGGGCTATGATTATCTGTTTTATCCTCAGTGTAGCCCTTCATGGTTATGATAACATAATTAGCTTGTTTATAATTAGCTTACTTATCTGTAAGACAAAGTAGTTTCAATATTATTCTTCATAGGTGAAAATTTCATTGTACCTTTCAGGTTTTGGTGTCTCCACTTTTATCAAGTTTTTGTTTGCACCTTATATGGCTAAATGGAAAGTTCCTAAAATATTTCCAAAGTTTTCCTCATTTTTAAAAATAAAAGATGCTTGACTTTCCAATATATGATCTTGGGAGCTAATTTGGGCTTGATGAAGATGTTAATAAAAGCTTTTGTAAAAGCAGTAAGTCAATTTGTTATTGATTTTATCTCCCTGATTACTGAAGCCTTATATTCATGATACCACATTTTTCTTCTCCCTAAGTAATTTCTGTGTCTGTTCTTTTCTATTGGGAGGTTTTCACCTTAATGCATGTGCACTCACCCGAGAAAGAGCAAGACAGAGAGAGAGAGAGAGAGAGAGACAGACAGACAGACAGACACAGTGAGAGGGAAGGTGAGAAAGCTCTCCTCCAGGAGGGATGGCCATGCTGCAATCCCTTCTTCTCCATTTCTTCTCCATGCTCCCATCTTGAGCATGCGTGAACATGCACACAGCATGATTTTCTTTTTACACTTTCTTTTTTTTTTTTTTTGAGAGGTTTTTGCTATAAGGAGCATGCGCCCACCACAAAGACAGAGAGAGACAGAGAGATGAAAAGCAAGAAATCACCCCCCAGGGGGCATGACCACACCACAGTTCCTTCTCTTCCATTCTCCTTTTGGGATCTTGGGTATGCACACACACATGCCCGGCGTGAGTTTAAGCCACCGGGTCTGGGACTCAAACCACAGTCAACTACGTGGGAGTTCAGCAACATAGCCATTATGCCATCTGCTGGTCCCAACACAGCATGATTTTCAACCCACCAGGTCTGGGACTCAAACCATGGTTGGCCATGTGGCCAGTGAAGTAACTGCTATGCCGTCTGGTGGTCCCTCTGTGTCTGTTCTTAGTAATACAATCCAGTGGTCCTTTTTTCTTTGTTTGTTCCATTTTGACAAAAATAAAGTGTTCATAATTCAGGGGAAAATAAATCAGTATTAACAGTGCTCTAGACACACTTTCTGCAAAGAAAAAGGGTCCATTAAAATTTTTTTCCTAGTTGTCATTTTGGAAGATGCAAGCTAATGGAGTATATAGACATTTCTAAATTTTCATTTTCTTCCTCTTAGAATAAACATTTCTACAGAAAAAAAGTCATTTTTAGGAACATAAAAATCTGCAAACAAAATGAAACTTTGCTGAAATAACCCCTCCTAAATTTAAATGAACTTTTCCAGCAAAAGCAACCTAGCAATCTGTGAATTCATTAAACAACAGCAAATGCAAGTGTCACTGATCTCAGCGAAGCTTTGCTCCAGGGGAAAATTATCAATCAACTAGAGACAGTGCTGTGATTTTGGATTCACACACAAGTGACAAGTTAAGCTTTTTTTTTTTTTTTTCTGGAGAGGTTTTCACTACAGGGCGCATGCGCTCGCCAGACAGACAGAGAGAGACATAGAGACAGAAAGCAAGAAATCACCCCCCAGGGGGGATGGTCACGCCACAATCCCTTCTCCTCCATTCTCCTCTCGGGATCTTGGGCACGCACGCACACACGCCCGGCGTGAGTTCTAAGCCACCGGGTCCGGGACACGAACCGTGGTCGACTACATGGGAGTCCAGCGACATAGCCATTACGCTAACTGCTGGTTCCCACAAGTTAAGCTTTTAAGGAGTCAGAACATGCCTGTATGATGCCCTCTTCTGTCCCAGGCATGAAACTCAGAGGATGTTTCTTATTATATTTTTCCAGCATCACAATCTTGGGAAATAATAATCGTTTTTATGATATACATCTACAGATGCCAGGAGAGGTTCACCAAAGGTTGCAGAGCTATTTTGCAGCAGAGTTAGAGTTTTAGTCCAGCTCAAAAGCCAAGGTTCTTTCCTTAACTTGTTGCTGTTTTAATATTAGCTTCATAGTCAGGAGTGTGTTTAAAATTGATTAATTTATGACTTGACTTCAGCATAGTTGAAAGTAATGATTCTAATCTTGCAAATAATAGTTGAATTTAAGTTAAATCCAAAGGAAAGGAAAGATCTTGGAAGCAAAACATTTAACTCCAAGAATGAGAAAACTGAGCAGAAGAGGGAACAGTGTGTAGTGCACTGGAGGAGAACTGAACCAGGGAGCTAACGTGCTAGGAAGCACATTGGGTTCTTATGGTTAGAGCGTCTCTCAATGGACAATCTGCCTTGAGGCCAGTGAGCCTCTTGCTGCTGTTAAATACCTAAGCAGAGCCCCAGGGACCAGCAGAGAAGGTTTTGAAGAGTTCTTGTATGGAATCTTACATTCAATGACTTTGTAGGTCCTTTCCAACTTAAGTTGTTACCTTTCTAAGTGGGAAAGCGTGCCTTCGAAATCAGGTAGTGCAGGTGAGTCTACCTGTTGAGGTCAAGCCATACCACTGGGCACTACATCACCTGGTGTTATAGACCAGAATGTTGTAATGGAATGTTTAAGGTGAGGTGGTCTTCGCATAGCTGCCCTAAATGGAAGCAGCTTTCTGCAATTTGTATGTTAGAAGGAGATTCTCATACTCTCCTCTTGGGACCTACATGTTTTCAATGGACTTAAAGGGAAAGTCTTAATGGTTACTGAGGCTTTTTCAGGGAAAAGTAGCTATTCTCTTTTTTAAAGTTTTATGTATTTATTTGAGAGAGGCACCCCCAACAGGGTCTTCATGCCACAATTTACCCCAGCCTCAGCTGGCCTGAACTGTAGGCAAGTGTGTGTGCAGCTAGTATGCTCAGGGAGGGTCTGAGATGTGAACCCAGGGTATTTCTCATGTGCATTCAGTTGTGTTAACACTGCACCACTGCCAGGCTCTGCCCATCCTCCTAAAATTAGCTTAGGCACTTCCAAGTGCTTTCTCTTGGTATATATAAACATTTAATCATTGTACATCTTCATAGCATATGATATGGGTTCTTAAAGCATAAATGTATTGCCAAGTCAAAGATGTTACCATGCACAATAACTTTTCATTCCTGTGTCTCTTAATTCTATACCCAGAAGATTTTTTTCCATTATCCTTATGCTTTCACCTTCCAAATATCCCACTTCCTTCCTTCTTCTATACTTCCTTTAAATGATTGTTTTTTTCTTGAGAGAGATTTTTTTTTCTGAGAGACAGAGAGACAGGAAAGCAAGAAATCACCCTCCAGAGGGGATGGACATACCACAGTCCCTTCTCCATTCTCCTCTCGGAATCTTGGACACACACACATACCCGCCCAGGGTATTTCAAACTACCAGACCCAGGACTTGAACCACAGTTGGCCATGTGGAAGTCCAGCAACATAACCACTATGCCACCTGCCAGCCTTTCTTTCTTTCACTGTTAACCACCTAATTGACATTTGACTAAGTATTAGACTTTACAAAATGAAGACGGTTCTGCAAAACTGGTTACAATAGTGACAGATGCCATGGATAGCCAATGTTTGTTTATTTTCTGGCATTGTCAGCGTTCCACAACCACTTACTGATTAGGGAGTCAATGTTTATTCTCTCCAAAATATAATAGTTACAGTTGACATTTCTTCATTGCTAATTTTCAGAGTCTTTTATCCTGAGTCTTTCTCTTTTAGGAATTTGAGAGGTTATTTGTGTTCTGTGTTACAAAACAAATTGTCATTTTCTTGACTCCAACAGGCTGTGTTTGACGTGGATAAGAAAAAAGGGCTGACTCTGATAGAGCTCTGGGAAGGCCTGACGGTGGACGACATACAAAAGAGTACTGGGTGTGATTTTGCAGTAAGTGTTTCTGTGAACAAATTCAGCCACTTATCCTAGATCCTGGGCTTGATTAATGGGTGTTTATAGGACCTGAACCATTAATTTGTGATCATTTTTGGAGCTGACCTTTGCAGTGAACAGGAGTAGACGAAAGGGTGCTTCCAGATGAGAGCGGGTGGGAGCAGGAGCTGTGCTCTGACGCAGGGCCACGGTTTGGCTTTGGAGGCAGAAGCAGGAGGGGAAGGAACCAGCAGGAGCCACTGAAAACAGAGGTTGAGCTTGAACTCTAAACTACTTTATGTAATGTCTGTTGCAATCTGCTGTTTTTCAGTTATATGTCAGCTGAGCTTAAACATGATTAACTAAAAAAATGTGAGTCACCATGGAGAAATGATACTTCTTCATTTTTAAACCCATCCGTGACTTAAGGCTTTCTCTTTGATTAACTTCTATGCCTTATTATCCCATCCATGGAAGATATTATATAGAATGTGGGGCTTCTCACAATATCAGATTTATAGTTGTAATGTAGGAATATCTTACATTGGAAGATAAACTTAGTTATGAAACACTCAGATCCAAAGCAGGTTAAGTACATCAGGGGTGTATCCATATAAGAAACCCCCATATTCCTTTTGAAAACAAAGAGAATAATACTACATATAGATAATTGCCCTTTTGTGTAAGTATTTGTTCACAAATCACCTATCACCTACCTAATGGGTGTTGTTGACAGGATGACCCAGCCCATTTAAGGTTAATCAAAAGTACGGGTGCAAGGGACCAGCAGTTAGCGTAATGGCTATGTCGCTGGACTCCCACGTAGTCGACCGTGGTTCACGTCCCGGACCTGGTGACTTAAAACTCACGCCGGGTGCGTGTGCGTGCGTGCCCAAGATCCCGAGAGGAGAATGGAGGAGAAGGGATTGTGGCATGACCATCCCCCCCTGGGGTGTGATTTCTCGCTTTCTGTCTCTCTGTCTCTCTCTGTCTGTCTGGCGATGCTGTCCCCTGGACAAAAAACACCAAAAAAAAAAAAAAAAAAAAAAGTACGGGTGCAATATCCCTGAGGAAAATGAAGGGAAGGGATTTGATTATCAGGTACCTTTTTAAGAACCAATCTACTCATTCAAAATGAAATGTATTTATAATGAAAAGAAAATACGTTAATGCTGTGACACATACTAGAAAAACTAATTTAACGAAAGTTATTTGATAAATCAGGCATCTATTCCATTGACATCTTTCTTGTATACTACCTACTTGGCTTGTACCTATCAGTGCATAAACAATTTCTTTAAAAACAATTCTGTTGCATAATTCATTATCTACATAATAACAATTCTTGGTGCCATACTAAGGTCTTTGTCTATTACTTTTTTCTAAATTTTCTTTTGGCAAAAAAAAGTCTCCCAGTAATACCTTGCATGTAAACCACGTCTGTAATTAGCTTTTCAATAGCCTTGGGGAAGAAAGGGGGTTATTTATACTTTATAACTATTTAGGATTTCTTAACTCCCATAATAAAAGCAAATAATTATTTTTTCTTTAGGAGAGATTTTTTTATATAGAGCACATGCATTCACCAGAGAGACAGAGAGACAAAAAATGAGAAATCATCCCCCATGGGGGATGGACACATCACTGTCCTTTCTCCTCCATCTTCCTTTTGAGCTTTTGGGCATGCACACACAAGTGCCTGGCATGAGTTTTAAGCCGCCAGGGCCAGGACTCAAGCCCTGGTCAACTACATGGAAGTTCAGCATAACCATTACACCATCTGCTGATCCCAAAGCAAATCATTCTTAATCAGCTGGAGTTTGTTTGCTCGTTTTTTTCTATGTGGAAGAGCTAAACTCTTCATTAGATAACATTTCCAATATCCACAGAATGTTCCATTTTCTGCTGTAAAAAGAATATACAAAGGAAAGCCCTTATTATTATCTGGCTCTTTTTTATTCATGTGAGTACATCAGGAGTGAAAACCATTGTGTTAGGCTGCTTGCACCCAGCATCTTCACAGCGAAGGAGTTCTTTGACTTATTTTTCTCCCATTACCCTCATATTTAAAAGAAGTCTGTCTCTCAAATGGTTATGAATTAAGAACTCATTTTTTAAAAATCAAAATGATATTGCAATTTTTATCATATTAAAGCTATGACAAGTTAATGAAAGTGTCAAATTCCTTTATTTTTGACTATTCTTATATCATTAAATGTGCCAGTTACTTGATGGGCCAAAGTAGGAAGGAAAGAAAAGGAAAAGTGATATCCTACCACTTGAATTTCATTTTTCTGAAAATACTGTTTTCAGTGAATAGTGAATTCAATTGATTATTCATTCCTTACTTTTCTGATGAATGCTTAAGCTTCATACTGTAGGATTTTCTTTACCATTTATGTATATGGACTATTTTTGGAAACAATGTTTCTGTTTGTCTTTTTTTAATCTAAAAAAAAAATAGATTTAACCTATATTTGTACATTTTGTGGTATAATAAGTTTCTGGAGGTCATTTATGATTACTTATTAAACACCCAGTATAAGTCTCATAATGAGATTTGAAATGTGAATAAAATAAAAGTAATTAGTATAATTCCTTCTCCCAATGGCCTTGATCTTAATCTCCAAGCCGAAATATACCAAAACTACTAATAGCAAAAAAACTAAATAAAAGCACAATTTATTTATATGTTTGCAATATAACCTGGAAGAAGCCAGCTGCCGACATCTCTTGCTAAATTGAATAAATTCATACTCTCAGTATCTATTATGAACTGGCATTATAGCAGAATTAAACAATATACTCTTGGGATTTCAGTGGACTAGGAAGACAAATCACTGGCTTATTTTCTACACTTCAATCATATCATCTTGTGCTTAGTCTGTAGATCACATTGGCAGGATAATCTGCTTTGGTTTACAGTGTTGATTAGACTGTAGAAGAGAACGAGAAATAGTGGTTTAGTAGACGTTTTTCATTACAGAGTAAACAGGCCAATTCAGTCTACATAAAGCTTTGCCATCATCTTTTCCAATAAAAGTCAATCTCCAGATAGAAGATATAAATGATAATAAGGACTCAAAACAGGACTGACATGACAAGGAAAAGAATCAATTGTTTAGTTTTAAAAATTAAGGTATTCAGTTTCTTTTTAAAGGAAATGGTATGAAACTATATTGGAAAGCTCGGTTTTCAAAAAAAGAAGAATTTGATTGCATTAGATTATTTCCACAGATGCTCTGTGGTTAAAAAAAGAAGATGCATTGTTTGTGAGACACACTTAACAAAATACTAAGAGCCCATATGTCTGTTATTCTTCTCAGTAGAGCTGAAGGTTTAAACAAATGTGGGATGTTAATTTTGTCTATTTATTACATATCTATTATTCTGTCTATTATCATCTGTTTGATCTTGAAAATAGCAAATCTAAATGAACTGACATTTATCCTAAGTTATATGAAGGGTCTTCAACAAGTTTATGGAAAAAACTATGCATGGGTTTCAAAAATTTTTTACACCGAAATGAATTTGTATTTTACCATTTGACATTTTCCCATGGACTTTTTGAAGTTTCTTTCTGTACCAAACCATACTGATCTTATTTATTTTTTTCTTGTTTATTTTTATTCATTTATTTTTTGGAGAGTTTGTTTGTTTGTTTGGTTTTTGTTTTGTTTTTGCTATAGGGCATGTGCATTCACCAGACAGAGAGAGACAGAGAGACAGAAAGCGAGAAATCACCCCCCAGGGGGATGGCCATGCCACAATCCCTTCTCCTCCATTCTCCTCTTGGGATCTTGGGCACGCACGCACATGTGCCCGGCGTGAGTTTAAGCCACCGGGTCCGGGACCCGAACCGCGGTCGACTACGTGGGAGTCCAGAGACATAGCCATTACGCTAACTGCTGGTCCCTCTCATTTATTTTTTAATAGAAAATTTTTAATTTTTTTATTCTTAATATTTGATATTTTTAAAATGTGCTTATTTTTAAAATTCTTCATTCTTTAGCAGAAAAATGGAAAAGAGGGCATTTAGCTCAACATAGTGAAGTTAATACAAAAGTTGTTTATAATGAGCTAAATGTAATTGACCTCATCAAAGCCAACTGATTGTCTTCTCTTTCACTTTTAAATGCTAACTTAACCTCTATTGGGAGCCTTTATTCTAGTTCTTTAAAGCTTATTTATTCATGTACTCATTCGTGTATTGCTATTTATTAATTTAACAAAAATTGTTCATTGTTTATTTTGCAAGGTAAAATACTAATTAATACCGCATCAATTGCTGCATTCTTTTTTTCTTTTTTTTTTTGGAGAGGTTTTTGCTATAGGGCATGTGCACTCGCCAGACAGAGAGACAGAGAGACAGAAAGCGAGAAATCACCCCCCCAGGGGGGATGGCCACACTGCAATCCCTTGCAATCCCTTCTCCTCCGTTCTCCTCTCGGGATCTTGGGCACGCATGCACACGCACCTGGCGTGAGTTTTAAGCCACCGAGTCCAGGACTCGAATCGTGGTCGACTACATGGGAGTCCAGCGACATAGCCATTACGCTAACTGCTGGTCCCAATTGCTGCATTCTTGAGGCATTAAAAAAAAATCACCTAAATTTTAGTATTCCCTGCTATGCTTTCCATAAAAACTGTTACTAACTAGGACTCAATGGACATTTGCCATATTGAATTAAGAAAAATGAAGCTGATTCTACCGTTTGAAAAAGCTGTCACAGTTAAGCCAGACCACTTACATTTAGGTTTCTCCTTCCTCCAGCTCTTCCTTAACGGTAGACTTGTTTTTGTTTTTGTCTGCATCAAGACTCCCAGGAATGCTTTTGCTGTTCTGTGCACTGAAAGTAATTGTAATCAGCACTTAATCGTTTCAATTCTATTGCCTCCTACTTGTAATAACTTTGAATTCTTTTAATCCCCATGTATCATTTTCATTCTGATTATGAAACTTGTGATACTATTTATTGTTGATTATGCATCACTTCATTAATACATATCCATGTTATCTACAGACTAATCCAAAGGTTATATAACAAAATTGTGAATTAGCCAGATCTATTTTGAGGCTTTAGAAATTTACACACTTTGCACTGTGACTAGAGCAAGGTCTCAGAGACATCACCTTGAAGATCCACCCAATAGACAGTGTGGTTATCAAGACTCTTTATTTGCCTCCTTCTACTCCTCTTCAACCCTTCCCTTATGGCCAGGCCTAGGCACTCTTAATTTAGGAGCTATATGATGCAAGAAGCTTGAGAACCACTAAGTACCCAAAATAAACAGAGCAGGAATTCTCTGTCTTGGTGTTTCAGGATGGAAAATTAATAAAAAACAAGCAAACAAACAAACAAAAAACAATCTCCAGGTGATGTTCATGGCAAAATTGCCTATTACCTGAATCATTCAAGTTTGGAAAGTCAAAGGAGAGATGTTTATACCTTATGAATTTTTCAGACTTTGATGAATTTTTTCTCTTTCTTTTCTCAGGTTTCACCGAAACTGATGCCAATGCAGCAGATTGCAGCTTGAAATATGGAATAGACATTTGTCCCAGACCACGTGTTTTTCACTTTAAATACGTAGGATTTAGTTGAAAGGACATTAGTAATCATAACTGTATATTTAACAGGAAGTTTTTGATTAGTTTTCTTCTAGTATTTTAGCCTTTAAGCAGCCATATAGACTGTTCTCTCAAGTGTGCTATGACATTTTAAAAAAGAAACATTTACGGTTTTCTTGTTTCATAAGTACTGAGAAGGTTCTCTTTACAATTGGTGCTCACATTAGGTGTATCTTAACCTTCTATGATATGTGTGTAAATTATATGCAGTTTCATCACAATGGACCTTAGGAACTGCTTTGTTGTTAGGCTTTCCTTCATAACTAAGTTATTACTCAGTAGTACTGAAAGAAAAATGATTTACATGTGAATATGTGATTAGGAGAAATGCTATCTTAATGATTGCTTTCCTTAGCCTCCTCTGACTTTTCTTTTGAGGCCTCTGATTTTATGATTACATCTTATTTCCCTAGAGCATCCTCCTTTTCCCCACATGTCTTATAGCTAAGTGGATACTCAAGAACGCAAGCAGGAACATCTCTGGTAGGAGAAGAAACTGGTTTGTGGGAGAGACTGAAAGGTAAAGAATGTATTGGTGCTGACATCCCACCAAGAAGTTGCCTTTATAAAGAAACCAACCATCTGTGCTTTGCCAAAAACTGAGGCTTATTATATATAGGTTTCTTCCTATAGAAACCTAACTGGTCTTCTTGGAAAATTTTCTCATTTTGAATCAGTGTCATATTCATCTGTATCAACAAGTGTCTGTAAGATTATTTCTCTGCATTATTGAGACCCAGTGGGTTACTTGTACAATACCTTCTCTTAAGCCAAGAGGAACTATGGGATAATTGATCATAACTCCTTAGTCACAATGATAGCAGAGTTTTTAAAAATTAAATAAAAGTTATTTCTTTCAGGCTTTCATTTATGTCTAGAAAAGATTCTAAATATTGAATGACTTTTCTACAGAACAGTGGTTTTTTTCTTCTGTAAGGCTACTTCTTTTAACAAAGTACTTTCACTTCAGCCTTATCCACAAAGGGGAAATGATGATGGACAAGTCCAAGATGTGAAGAGTTGGCAAACTCTTATTGTTGAGGAATAAACATGGTAGACTCGGATCGTAAGGAACTTTTCCTCAGAGATATCCTCAATACCATATAGTTGCTCAGGGGGACCTCTTCAGAAGCATTCTGGATATCACATGGGAGAACTAAGCACCCTGGACAGAGGCAGGCAAGGTACAGTGCAATGTATCATTCCTCTGGGACTAAATATAGGGATTTATGCATATTTTGAGGTGTTAGTTGTCATTGAAACTCACTTCTTTTCACATACAGTTACAATTGTGTCTTGTACAATATTAGAGGGAGGAGAAAGGCTTTTGTGTCTCATACACTCTGTATAAAATAGCAGGAAAGCTGGCTGCATGGTTGAAAGCTTACTCTCCTAGGATTCATGAAAAGGACTCTTAGAATATGCAAGTTTCATGAGCATAATATATGCCTCTATTGGAGTTATGATTTGGAAAAATATTTTGTTGTTGATGGTTATTATATCTTCAAACTTTTTTGTCATTTCAGTCTGTTACTTTATGATAACGAGATTTTAAGAATGTTATAAACTTTGAGTGGCAAAACTTAGTAGATGTCTCTATATTCTTGGTTAGAGTGCCATGGATGTGTGGAAGTTATAAATGGTACATTAAGACTTACAATAAACATTCTAAGTCAATTAGATCAGTGTGATTGTCCTCACTCTTACTTGGGAATGGCATGGTTTAACATGGGAGTAATGTAGCAGATTGATAGAATGACCAAGAAGAGTCAGTACACTTCATTGCTTTTAATAAAGAAAGCCCAAATGAAACATTATGCAAATGAATTTCTCTCTTTGCTCCTTGTCAGGGCCAATCACATTCTATAATGATTGATTATCCAAGGCTTCATATGCATATGCTACAGGATACCATCGGGTTATTTGTCCTTCATTTAAAATCTGGAGATGAGAGAGGTCAATTTTCTTACTTCTCTCTGGCCAGGAAGTGATAAGAATGTGATTCTGGGGACCAGCAGTTGGCATAATGGCTATGCCGCTAGACTCCCATGTAGTGGACCATGGTTTGAGTCCTGGGCTCTGTGGCTTAAACTCACGCTGAGTGCATGTGCATACATGTCCAGGATCCTGAGAGGAGAATAGAGGGGAAGGATTATGGCATGGCCATCCCCTCTGGGGGGTGATTTCTCGCTTTCTGTCTCTCTGGAGAGCGCACGTGCCCTATAGCAAAAACCTCTTAAAAGAAAAAAAAGAATGTGATTCTGGCACCAATGCCCCTTTCCCCTACTTACATACACATGTCTGTGCACATACACAGGCTTATATTCAGATTCTCCATCTTTAAAACAGGGAAATTTCTGTTGTGGTTCTTTAAGATACAATTAGTACATATGGTTGAAAAAAAAAAAACTCAACAAATCTTTTAAAAATATTGTTACTTTGGGACAGAATTTTCAAGTGTTTCTGTCCTTTTATTTTCAATGTCTGCACTCCCTTCCCACTGAAGACCCAACTCATAAAGGTAATGTGATCAAAGTGTACATTTATGTGACTTTTAAAGTATTCTGCCTCCATGGGACCAGCAGATGGTGTAATGGTTACATCTCTGGACTCTCACGTGGGAGACAGCAGTTCAAGTTCCAGGCTTGGCAACTTAAAAACTCATGCTGGGCACATGTGCATGCATGCCCGAAATCCTGAGAGGAGAATGTAGGAGAAGGGATTGTGGTATGACCATCCCCCCCAGGGGCTGATTTCTGGCTTTCTGTTTCTCTGTCTCTCTCTAGTTCTCTGCCAAATGCACATGCCCTATACCAAAAATCTCTCTACATATAAAGAGGAGAAATATTTTACCTACATAAAATTTGACATATCTGCATAAAATCATCTAAAGGCCTTTGTGAATCATACGGCAACTCCCATCAGAGTGATTCCCATCAGAGTGATGCCTAGACCAATCCAGATCAATAATTGAGAGGACAATTCATTCCCTTAAAGTCACAATCAAACCCAAATCATATATGGTCTAGGGGTCAAATATGCTTGATTATGGTTAATTTTAACTGTTGTCACCCTTAATATTAGGTATCATTCTGGATGGTTCTCTTAGAAATGCCTTCACAGGTAGCTATACTGGCTCTTTTTTTTTTTTTTTTTTTTTTTTTTTTTAAGGCTTGTTTATTTATTTATTGAGAGAGAGGGAAAGAAAGCACTCCAGCAGGGTCCTCATACCACTATCCACCACCATCCTTCAGCCAGTCCTGGGTCACAGGCATGCATTGCCCAGGATACTCAGGGAGACCTCTGGAGTTGAACTAGGAACCTTCTCATGTGAGATTTCCTCAATGAGTATCATATTTTACAGCTGCACCAGTCCCTACTATGGCTCTTTTATAGCATGACTGACTGTGTGTCTGTAGGAAATACTCCTATATTTACTGACAAACTATGGGAGTCTCGGGTGGCCGTACAGCCATATTTTATCTTTGGCTTATTCCTTAGCAGCTAGGCACCCCACCTCTTACCCTGTAAAGTTTCCTGGAGAGAATCCCCTCCAGAACTTCATAGATAGAATTCTGGTGTTTCTTTGAAGCCCTCTCTCTTGACTTGGGGGTAGGAAGTAGCATGGTCCACTTGCCTCTTTGGGGTCTAAGTGTTCAATAGCTCCCTCCAAATGATCTTTGTAAATGCTCCTTTAATCTCCAGCTCTCAACTCTTGTACACATTTAATGTGGAAAAGAGTCTAAGAGTTATGTTACTAGTTTCCCAGACAGATATTACAAAATGAGGTCATAATGGCATTTACAATTTTTTTTAAGTCTCATATATTTGTGTAACAACTTTATGACTGCCCCATAGTAGGTTCGAATGTCGATTCAATTCACTAGTTGAAAATATAAGTGATAGTAGGTCAGGCTTGAAGGATTTCCCTCAGCTAAATTATTAGATAAAACCTCTTAGGAAGAGGTAAGGACGGAAGCAAGAAGTGGAATTTGGAGGTTATAACAAAGGAAATAAGAGAACTGCAGCAATCACCTATATTTATTTAACACTTTATGATTTACAAAACACCCAGAATATGTTAGCTAGCTTATCTGGTTCTTATAACAACCTGCCAGGGAGACATTATTACTTCCATTTAAATTAACTTGATTAGTCCGATAGGAGTAATGACCATCAGTTCTTTAATCACATTAGCCTTTCGGGACTGATGTTGGATTTTGCCAAGGTAGTTAATGAGATGTAAATTAAATCCCCCAAATAGAACTAGATTTGTTGTTCTCTGGTAAGTTATGAAACAGAATCCAAATCCTGGTAAGTTATAAAACAGAGCCCAAACCCTTTAAATCTAATGGGACCAGCACTCAAATTTCGCTCCCTGTACACACAGCTCTTGTGCACAACCCATTTTATAAGGAAATGGGTAGTTGTCAGAATAAAAGGATAATGCCACCCACCAGACGAAACACCCCGGCTAGAGACTTGTAATTACTAGGTTTGCTGGCATGAAATGTTCCCCGTAGGCAAGCACAAGTAAGAATGCTCACCTGACACTAGCAGGAGGACTGATAGGCACTGCTTTGACTTTGTGACTGAACACCTTTTTGAAACTTTATTTCCTTGGCATTGACCTTTGTCCAAGTTCAAAGTCAGAGTTGTATCTCAGACTCAGATTCAGTTGAACCCCAGAGATAAAGCTGATACTTTATCAGTCATCCTGAAAATAAATGTTACTAATGATATGGAGAGTGGATTTCTCAGTGAGGTCTGGTACCATTACCCACAATGAGAAGGACAGGATCCATGGAAAGAAGAAACTGGTCATAGCATTAGTTCCTAGGGAGCTACTAGGGATGAAGTGAAGATGCGTTAGGTGGGGTGAAGAGACATATCATATTAGAACATCTAAATGTTGGTAGCATATTTACTTAGATATATAATACCATCTATTGTAAAATGCACTATGATTTTGCTGTCAATTGTAAAATGCACTATGATTTTGCTTACTTGTTTACCACTTTGAATTTTTATTGTAGGCAAGTCACAGTGGCATGGGTGCTAGGGAGTGGCACAATACTGGAGCCATATTAGAAGGCTGCATCCCAATTCTAGATCCTCCAGAAACTCTGGGCACACATGTGGCATACTGTTGATCCTGGTTGGCTGGAAGATAAGGAGGAGAATTGCACTGCACTGTTGCAAGACCCTGACAGCAGTTCCTGTCACTCACTCTCTCACTGAAATAAACTTTTTTTTTTTTTTTTTTTTTTTAGAGGTTTTTGCTACAGAGAATGTGCGCTCGCTGGAAAGACAGAGAGACAGAGACAGAAAGTGAGAAATCACTCCCCAGGAGGGATGGCCATGCTACAATCCCTTCTCCTCCATTCTCCTCTTGGGATCTTGGGCACACGTGCACACGCACCCGGTGTGAGTTTAAGCCACCGAGTCTGGGACTCGAACTGTAGTCGACTACATGAGAGTCCAGCAACATAGCCCTTACACTAAATGCTGGTCCCAACTTTTTCTTTTTTAGAGCAGCACATGCTTGGTAAATAATACTTTACAAATTTTTGGCAAATTAATAAAATTAAAGGTTAGATGAATTAATGAAAAATAATTCAATAGCACAGGACCATGTTCAGTCAAAATTCAGCTAGTCTTTTTAAATTTCTAATTTAAAATAAAAATAACAACAACAAACAAACACACAACTGGTTTGGGAATTTCTCTCTCTCCTTCTTTCTGTATCTTCCTCCCTCCCTTTCTTTTTTATATCTTTTCAACAAGTATTTATTGAGTACTTTGTTATTCATGTTCTAATCAGGAGATAGAACATACATGGTAAGTTGAACAGGGAAAGTTTAATATAAACAATTACTATTGGGTTGTTGGAGAAGTCATGACGTATTTTTTTCTGTTTTTCTATGCAAAAATGTATCATGACTTTTCTGACAGCGCAGTATTATCCTCTGTAACGGGATTGGAGTAATAGAGATTGGAAGTGAATTTAGAAGTGAAGAGAATTCTAAACACCTTAAGAATGAGCGATAAGAAGCAGTTTTTACATTTATTGTTAAAATAAAACATCTAAGAAATAGACTTCCAGGACTGAGATTCAGACCTTGCTGGAGAGCATATGGTCATGCCAACAGAACTTTCTGGAAATTTTCCTCTGAAATGCAAGAAAAAGCTGTACCTGAGGTGAGGATGGGGGTGCTACACTTCAACAGTTGCCACAAAGCCACCTGTAGAGATGCCAGTGAAGCTGTTCATAGGGAGGTGTCTCACCAGGGGCACTTCACAGCCAACTGAGGGAGTGCTGGAAGAGGCTGGTGGCTGCTGGATCCTATGGCTGCCACATACCACAAGGGCCAAGAACTGGAAAAGCCAAGTGTGCTGCGGTTGCCGGGTGCTGGGGAATCTATATATGATGCCACAAGAGCCAGATGGTAGAGAAACTGAGCTGTAGACCCTGGCAAGAGAAGCATTTCAAAATTAAGAGAAGAAATGTTTTCCTCCTCTAGTGTCTCCTCAGCACCTTCTATTAACCCTCTATTCTATTCCATTTGGCAGGCAATGAAAGATG